AAACTACGGCTGCCTAAGCTCACACAGCTTTCGGTGACAGTGCCATTTTAGGTGCATGACTGTCAAGAGAGTCTATCCCACTGGAATGAGGGGCCTCGTCACCTGGTAGATGAGCCCAGCACAGGGGGTGTCAGGCCGTGACCAGAGTCCCCCCGGACCTCTGAGAGTCGGAATGTAAATCTGTTCGACTCCCCCAGCCAGGGCCCTGACCCTTCCCAAGTTCATCTTCATGCTCAGACCGAGAGGTGCCAGGAAGGGGAGAGTGGGCCTCGTTCTACGGTGGGGAAACTGAAGGGCAGTGATGGATCAGCCTTGCCCAGGAGGGCGGCCCAGGAAAGGGCAGAGCGTAGCTGGGACTTGAACCGGGACTTTTCATTCCAAGGCTGGTGTTTCTCTTCGGCTGGGGTGGGGCTCAGTGGTGGAGCCCTTGCCTAATGCACGAGGCCCTGGGTTCCATCCCAGCAACGTCAACAACCAAAACAGAGAGACCCAACCGGGTGGGCAGCAGGACTCGCATGGGATGACGGTGGAGGGGACTGCCTACCCAGGGAGGGGCTTTGGGCTTTGTCTACTACTCCTCTTCTCGGGGGAGGGAGCTGTCCTAGCCCCAGGGTCTCTCCACCTGGATTTGGGAGCCTGCATGTGAGGCCCAGCTCCAGCCAGCCTATCTGCCTCCACCCCAGGCCATCTCGGTTTTGCTGAGGGCCAGTTCAAGCCTTGGAGCTGACATCAGAGAGTGCAGGGATTCCCCTCCCTCGCCCAAACCAGGAGTTCCAGTCTCCTTTCTGTCCTGGATCTGCGGTGGGTCTTGAGCAAAGCCTCCCTATCCCGAAGTCAGCTCTGAAACATCTCTCTGCTTCCCCTGAACTTGGATTTCTACCCACCCCCTGGAGGGCCCCAACAGAAACTCTTATGGATGATCTTTTGTTGTTGTTTTGTTTTTAACCCAGGGGTGCTTTTACCACTGAGCTCCATCTCCAGCTCTTTTTATTTTTTTTTGAGACAAAGTCTCACTAAGTTGCTGAGGCTAGCCTTCAACTTGAAATCCTCCTGCCTCAGCCTCCCAAGGCACTGGAATTATAGGCCTACGCCGCCTCGCCTGGCTAGACGGTTGTTTTCTTTTTTTTTCAACATCCAGGCTTTAGTTTCTCTGTGTAGTCATAGTAGCAGCCCTTGAAGATTGCTGTCACGTTTTCACGAGGACACTGAGGTCCAGGGCAGGCCAGTGACTCACCTGAGGTTATCAGCAGGGCCAGCTCCACACCAGAGTCCACACCCCAGCCTTCAGTTTCCTTCCTACCGGTTCTCACCCCTCACCACATCCCCTTCTTTGCCCGCTGGCTCTGGCCCAAGTCACAGTCCATCAACCGAGACCAATTTGTGAAACGAGGCCCAGGTAGCCAGAGACTAGTCTGGAACCATCCTCCAAGAATCTGAGCAGAGGCTGGCCCTGTTTTCAGTGACCCTCTGAGTTCTTGCCAAGGGTCTGCTCCATCCTAGGACCATGTCAAACAGCCCAGTTGCCCCTTCCCATCCCTGTCGCAGGGGGTCCAAGCCTGGGCTGGAGCAGAAGTCTAATTTTTTTTTTTTTTTTTTAAAGAGAGAGTGAGAGAGAGAGGGAGAAAGAGAATTTTTAATATTTATTTTTTTTTAGTTCTCGGCGGACACAACATCTTTGTTGGTATGTGGTGCTGAGGATCAAACCCGGGCCGCACGCATGCCAGGCGAGCGCGCTACCACTTGAGCCACATCCCCAGCACCCAGAAGTCTAATTTGACCTCAAATCTCAGGCTGGTTGTCTTGCTGCTCCTTCTAGGTGACTTACATGTGGCCCACCACCAGCAGAACCTGGATCGGGCATCTGTGGCAGAAACACATTTGTTCAAAAATGATTAATTGAGAGTCTCCTCTTATTGGCTTCTGGGGACACATCACTGCACTGAACAGGCACAAATTCCCACATTCCTGGAACCCGGAGTCTAAGGCATGCCACAAAATAAAAGGATTGAATGTTAGATATCAAAAATATAAATAATAATTATACTTTTATATAATTAAAGATATAAATATAATTCTATTTTATATAAGTCCACCACTTGGGAAGGTGATATTGGAGCAGGGAGAGAAGACAGTGAATTCTACGGATGTCCAGAAGAATGTTCCAGACAGAAGGAACAGCAAGTATAAAGAAAGGCCTGAGGCAGGAGGGGGCTTGATGTTCTATGAGTCACAGGAAAGCCGAGTTACTGGAGGGAGGGAAAAGGGGACAAGACACAGAGCATGTGAAATATCCACTTGAGACAAGATATGTGGTAAGAAACATGAGCTATTTATCAGGGAAGCCAAGTGACCAGGGTATGTGTGCAGGGAAGACTGAGGAGAGGGACACCACCAAGAAAACAGTGGGAGCCAGGCACAGTGGCATACTCCTGTAATCCCAGTGACTCAGGAGGCTAAGGCAGGAGGATCGTGAGTTCAAAGCCAGCCTCTGCAAAAGCAAGGCACTAAGCAACTCAGTGAGACTCTGTTTCTAAATAAAATACAAAATAGGGCTGGGAATGTGGTTCAGAGGTCGAGCATCCCTGAGTTCAACCCCTAGTACCTACCCCCCCTGAAAAAGAAGGCAGTGCGGACATTCTAGCAGAGAGAGCAGCTTTAACAAAGAGAAAGCTAAGTGTGCAAACTTGACCACAAAGTCACCAGAGCTAGACTAGGGTGAGGGTGGGGTGAGGCTGGAGGAATTAGCTACAGCCAAGAAAAAGGCAGAAGAAGCAACGAGGGTCAGGGGCCCAGGAGATTGTAGTCAGAGATGGGGAGAGGGGGTTCAAGATTTAAGAAGTGGTTCCCACATATAATCCCAGCAACTTGGAAGGCTGAGGTCGGAGGAGCATAAGTTCAGAG